AGTTGTAGCTGTCTATGTAGATATTTGAATTTTTCTGTAACACTTGACTATTAATTTGTACGTTTATTTAAAAAGAAAACGGAAGGCTAGGATAAATCTGATCAGTTTTGATACTATGGTTAGAACTACTTGTACAACATTCAAAACGGAAAAGTCTCAAGTTGGTTTTTAAAGAGAAAGAGATAAATAGCTCCAGCTCATCAGTGTCAAGTCGAGGCCACTGGCAATAACAAATATGAAATATTGAGCATTGATACTAATATCATCATCAATTTCGCCATCTAAGAAATCTTCTAAAATACTTTGATGAGTTAACTATTTTCTACCATCATAATCGCCTTGAGAACAACATATGTTTCTGCATGACAAATTCTGTTCGAAGCATATGTACGATTCACAGAGATGACAATTAATCTATGTCACGAAAATAGACAATTTGTTGCACAGTGGTAGATGTATAGGTATATATTCCTGTAACGCTTTACAACCAAAAGGTGTACATTTTTTTAAATGACGGATTTTCCAATTTCCACTCATTTTCAAAGGAAATCTGGTTTGGAGTTTTGCAATATCAACCAGACGAACTGGAAGAATTCTTTGTCTGAAAAAAGAGACGGAAGATACCAAGGTGACATAATGAATAATGCATCGGATGCATGTTTTTTTCACGAAAAATGCATCTTTAGAAAACTCAGACTTCATTCTTAGTATTAAAATCACTATGTACAGATTTAACTTTGCCTTTGGCTTATGTTTTTGTTGCAGTTCAGTGTTTCTATTGTTCCGTTGTTTTCCCCTATAGCTGATGTGTTTCCCGCGGTTTTGGTTTGTGACCCGGATTTGTTTTCGCTTAATCGATTTATGACTATTGTACAGCTGTATACTACTGTTGCCTTTATTTATAACAGATCAGTGATTAATTTTGTCTTCACACTTCAGCTGACGTGTCAATATCTGAACCAGCTAAATTTAACAAACCATGATACCTGTATTGGTTCGTTTCAACTGACGTTTTCGTATGAAGAAGAAGACGCCGTGTCGTATCATGAGCAGCTGGCAGTATGCTGTATACGACTGATTCAATAGCACCGATAAGATCCATCTTCGCTAGCCAAGGGTTACGATCCACTTCCCTCCTCTCTACCCTTGGCGGATTGAGATAGAATTTCGGAGACACAAGGTAATGATTTTCATTGGTTGCAGTCGAAACTCACTGCATCCAATCAAAAAGCGCCTTTAACATGATCACTAGTAAATGTAGAAAGTGTATGTAAACAATTGCCAACAAGTCTTTACATCCCTAAACATACGACTATATTTAGTGACAATTTGAATGTTTTAATCAACTAATAGAAGTACCTGTGTATGTTTCTTGCACAAATGCATTAATGTCAACGTATATTTTCGTTTCCTGCTTTACCAAGTGTGTAGAATCTAGACGCTACCGTTTTTTACCTCCAAATTGAAGAGTTCAAGTGCTACCATTGGTCAAGAATAATGTATTAGGAATGGGCGTGACTTTAATCTACCGATAGATGGCGCAAGATTGTTATCACAAATGTTGGCTTAATCTGCCAAGGGTGGAGAGGAGGGAAGTGGATCGTAACCCTTGGTTAGCGAAGATGCGATAAGATCATGAAGATGCGTAAATACCGTTTTTCTTCTTTGCTTGAAAAAGCGATCATTCTGGAACCACAATGTTTGACATAATTGGAAACATTTTGAAGCGTTATGAAGGGTTTTATCTTTTTTGTGGGTATGGGATCATTATGAAAACATGCATTTATTTCAGAATATTTCATCTACACTTTCATACAGCTGGCAGCACGTACACTGACTGAGTAACTAAATTTTTTTTTGTTTTCATTTTCATTATCTTCTTTGAGTGTGAACCACAATGGAAACACAATAATGATTTTCTAGTTTGTACTTTATGCGGTTTAGCTCTTCAAATGTTTCTGTTCTTATACATCCTTGGCTTTCAAAAGTTTGGTTTTAGGCGTTCCTGATGAATGAAAATCATGAATAGCGCTTCGGACACAATATACGAAATCTTATTTGTCTAAATCGTTAAGCCATTGTATACATGCTATCAGTTTGTTCTTGAAGATAGCAACAACACGTATCTTGCAAGATCGACATCAAAAATGCTTTTCTATTTCATAACAGATCATTGCATAGACCTTCTGTTTGCCTTTAAAGAGCATCAGCAAGCTGCCCAGACTCAATTGTAGTAACAGGAGCAGGATGACGGTGAAATGGACAAATTAAAAACTTTACGGTCATCATTACGAATTGGGTTAACGTTAAGCGTTACCGTGTCTAAACTCACTACCAACATCTGTCCACGGTTTAAGATCTTTAAATACCGGATCAAATATATAAACTTACCATTTGTGACCTATTCTGGTTTGTGTCATTTTGACTGTGTGTGGATTCGTATGGCGGATAATGTAATGCATAGCAGAACAAGAGAAGCTTATTCTGTCACCGCATCCGATCTCACTCTTTTTGAAGTTAATGCGATTCCTTCAGTTTTTAACCGTGATTTGTATCTGTTAGATGGATTTATGAGATTTGAACATCGGTGGTTGTCGTTTGATACTGTGTTTATAGTTTCCTTTCTTTTGTGGGGCCTCGGTGGCCGAGTGGTCTAAGTAGTTACTACTGTAATCACTAGCCAGTCAACACTGAGGTTGTGAGTTCGAACCCCGCTCATGCGGGTGAACTCGACTCCAATCTTAATTGACTAGGATTGTCAGTTTTCCTATCGAAGGTCGGTGGTTTTCTCCGGGTACTCCGGCTTCCTCCACCAATAAAAACTGGCCGCCACGAAATAGCCCAAAAAGCGGTGCTTAAAAGTGGCGTTAAAACACCAAAAAATCAAAATCAAACCTTTCTTTTGTTATTTTAGACATTAATCTGGCTGTTAATTTTCTCGTTTGAATTCTTTTACATTTTTTCAGGTCAGGATCTTTTATAGCTTGCTATGCGGTAATGGTTTTGTCTTTTGTTGAAGGCCATTCGTTGATATATAGTTGCTTACAACTATGTCATTTTGTCTCTGATGAATAGTAGGCTAAATGTTATTGCTGCCTCTAATTCACTAGGATACGTACGGATGAAATATCAGCCGCCTCAAACCATGATATCAAAGTAACGGGTATCAAAGTTTAAATGGGTCTATATTTTCTCTTATGAATGTATATTTTGTATTAAAAAAACAAGAGATCAAGCACTCTGAATATAGAATCAGGTAAATGAACACCTTGCCTTGCAACCACTTTAAACCTCTATGGTGATTCACACTTCCTTCATAAAATCTACCAAGACAGTTTAACAGAACAAAATTTTTACCATAACCAAATATCTAATTGGAATAAAGGTACTGAGGTCACTGATAGTCTAGTTTAAATATTGAATAATTTATACAGGTCAGAGTGTAGAACAGACCAATCGCGACGATCGGAAACTTTCGTCAAATTAGAGTTGCAACGAAAACGAAAAAAAAAATCCTTTTGGACAGAGATAACTTGTCATTCGTTCTAGAAGCGCTCGATATTATACTTGCTTTATATCCCGCAAGTTTTAATACTTAGCCGAATGATATGGCCACTATACTATTTAATTGAAAGAGTACACCTTTATATCCCCTTTTCATTAAAATGGCATACGTTTACGCCATTGAAATTATTTTAGGATGGCTACCTAAAAATCAAATAGTGAAAAACTATACAAGTTGCAATTAATCTAATGCGAAAGGGGTATTTAAATTGGGATTAGATATTCACTGATTTTTTTGGTGGAAAAAGGTTGGTTAACTTTTATTTCATTTATGAAAAACTACACCTTATTTTCCTAAGACGGTCACATTAATCTTTAAGAACACACATTGTCGAATCGAATGATACATGATATAGAGTGTGGTAGTTCTGACGATTAAATTTAGTAATCCTGGGTCTAGTCGACGGGGTATTACATGTAATACAATTTTGTTCATGATCATCAACATTGCATTTTATATGTCCGGGAAAGTAGTGGAAGGGAAAGCAACATGAATTAATAAGTAAAACAAATAACAGTTAAACCAATGAGGTTCTATGGAAACTTTTTTAAACAGCCAGTAAAAATTAGATTTTTCGTTCTGTCAATTTTTTATTGGTAAAACCTTTAGAGCATTGGTCTGTCTGCTATTTATTATCAACACTGGCTACGGAGGCAATGTGATAAACATTTACCTCAACAAAAGGTATGGTTGAAAATTTGACACGTGCATTCGAAAACATCCAATTAATACTTTCGTATAATTTTAAGTTCTATGTTTGATGAAACCTGATAAACTGTGGTCACATTTTATAGCAAACTACTGATGAGATCATCATTTGGGAATATAACTGCTCTCGTGTTAGATGATAGACAAGAAAAAAATCGAAACGTGTGCAGTGTGAAAACTCTACGTCAGAGCTAAAATGATAGTATAATGTTTACTCTATCCTGATTTGAATTTTTAGTCGTGAGTTAAGTCGGTCCGTTAAGCTCTTAAAATAAGCGACTTTTTCATGATGTGTACAAGTAATTCAACTACTGCTAATTCAGTCATACGTTCATGTTGTTATCGTTTGATCAGTTTAGCTGCTGGTTGACTCTTAGTTCTTGAGAACGCCCTCAGCTTAGTCGACAGGACTTCAATACTTGCATGTTTTTGGCATGATTTGAATAATGCATATAAATTGCAAATGTTTAGTGTAGTTCTACAGCAGCTAAGGCTACAACTCTGTAATTAAATGTTGCCCTTAGAAGTATTTTGTTGCTCGATCGCGTTTTGGTGTTGTTTTTCGAAATGTCTTATATGTTTACCTTCCAAGTATTATAAGCTCATTAATTCACAGTTAATTTCATCTGCTGATTGTAAATCTCATATAAGAATTGTTACATTATTTAAAAACATGTAGATGTTATTGATTGAATTACCTTGTAATATGTTTTTAATAAAGGTAAAAATGAAGTTATATTGAAACTACTGCGTGGTAAGCCAAATTTAATCATCGAAGATGCTTCCGTAACACACGATCTTTCCAGTGTTAATCGAATTGATCATGTAAATACAGTAGAGCCTAACACAACCCAAATACACACAGCAAAATTTATCAATGCAGAGATGTCAACTGAAACAGAGAAAAGTAATATCACGAAATTAAAAAATCAAGAGGCCAGTAAGCCTGAAGGTGAACAAAGGAAATCATTTCAAAGGCGCCAAGTATCAGATTATACAGCTTTATCCATTCATAAAGACGTCTTGAAAGAGCTTAAAGATGGGAAATTTAACATGGAAATTGCTCCTTCTGACCTTGTTGACTTTGGTGGACAAAGGTCATTTGATATGACTCATCAATTATTTATTCAGCAAAAAGGAACTTTTGTATTAATGTTTGATGGAAGCATAGGTTTATATGAACCACTGAAGGAATATCCACAAGGCAATTTCACAGCGGCATGTACGTTTAACAACATAGTTGTAATGTATTATCAAAAAAGATATTCGATATCTAGACGTAACTATCTCAACTCTTCTTAAATATGCAATGTTATTCAAAAACAATTTAAATAGGAAATATCTTGAAGTTTACTCTATTTAAAAGCCAGAAACTCGCTGTTGAACATTTTCATTTTAAACAACAAGTAATTCATGACTGTAACAATTTGACTTGATAATGCAACTCATTTTAAAAAGATGTTCTTACACAATACTTTCATTATCAACTATAAAATCATTAGAAGAAGTACATTGATAAGACATTTCAGTATTTTTTTTTATTTGCTGATATTTTTTCAGCAATACTTACTCATTGGGTCAATTCAGTCCTTGCGTATTGTGGAGACAGTGATGACAAAATGCCAATGATAGTATTCGCTGCTACGCATAGCGACTATTTTGAAGAGGTTTGTTTATATTTTTATATGAAAAAAATGTATGCAAGTTTAATCTAAAGAAAAAAGTAAAACCATTATTTTGTCTTTTTCGATATTGATAAATTAATAGCATACACAAGCTGTTACTGAACAAACAGATACAACACAAGTTACAAAAAACTGACGACATTTGAAATTTTTAAAGATCTGTCAAGCAAATTTCAGGTCAGTTTGGTACTTACTTGTTTTTTTATGGTTTATGGTGTCGACTGAAAATTCAGCTCCCCTGTTTTTTTTTCAATCTGATTATGTTGATACAATTTGATCCCTTATTTCGACTCTCTTTCGGATATGAAATTTTACATAGAATGATAGAAAATATTGCAGTGTCTGGTAAGACTGAACATATTTCTTTTTACATATGATTATTTTTGATAAAAAGCTGTTATCCAATACCTACAAAAAGATATGTTTAAATGTTAAGACATACAATGTTTGTATACACAACATTGTTTTTATTTTGCTACTTTTATACCGGTATCGACTCTTATAATAATGTTACACAATTGTGGAATGGAATTTAATTTTACGTTTTGTGAATTGTTTTGATATCAATTAAAAGTTGGATAATACAGATGTAATGAATTAGTATAATATTCATATCGGAAAACCCAGTGTCTTATGTACTTATTCCGATGGCGTTATTCGGCTTATCGAGGAATCAGTCCGTTGATACAAATTTGTATTGAGCTGCATATAAAAAAAGTCCTTTGATCTGAGTAGTACGTTTTTTTTTATCAGAATCTATTGACGAAACGTTTAAAGATCAGTTTCCAATCTTAAATTAATACTATCTATACAATTTAGTTCATTATTTTAAAATTACCATGTGGCAATTTTAAAAAGGTGTATGTATGCCAAGTAAACATCCAATAATTCTTTTATCACAATTGTTTTATTTTGTATATCTTTAAGATGAATTCGTGCGGATTTTATTGGTATTGATTTACTTATCGACTGTCATAGGCGACGGAACCGTGGGAGATAAAATGTTCCGAACCCCTCTGACTCCCTAAAAGGGATAGGTATATAAATCTCACGGTAATTATAGACTCACCAACTAAATGTTTTGTTCAGTTGCTTTCGTGTCTTAATGGCAAATACTTCTCTTTGCCACCCTCAGTGCAAATGAGCTGTCGTCCAATTCCTCATTTATATAGTTATGATAAAGAATGTAATAATAAGACAGAGATTTCAAAGGAATTCTGTTGAGAGATTGGTAATGTAGGTATGTTGCATGAAAGTACCTTTTCCTTATGAGTCCATTTCATGTCAACGTCGTCAATGAAAGTCAATGAAACGAAATGAATAAACTCATCATAGATACCAGGATTAAAATTTTGTACGATGTGAGCTAATAAATCCAAATGAGACCAACATCGTTCTACAATGAGTTTTCAATCTACCCAATATTTCAGATTAAGTGGATTTATTCCATCAATGATACCGTGACTCAGCCATAACTTAAACTTCTCAGCCACATAAACAATCGAGGTTGCATATATGAATAAAAGAAAGAAGAGGCTTCTCTCGTGCACATAACATCAGCATAGATGAACTTTTAGCGTAAAAAGAGAAAAGTGTCAACAAAACAATCCCTTTCATGCTGACTTCTTATTTCAATTCTAATAAGAATCAAACGTAAGCCGCGTAAATTGGTAAGAAATAGAAACACCCTAAGATAGACAAGATCTTGCTCTAAACAACCGCATTCTCTCGGTAGACCTTTCACAAATCTTGTGTTTTGAGAGCTTTTGACCATAATTGAAAGTTTGGTAACACAAATTTCTTTTCAACGTAAGATTTTGGCAAAAGATCCCAATTTGCTGAGAATTAGAGTAAAGTGATTGTTGTTATTAAATTTAGTTTTACACCAATTTTAGGTTTTTGCCTTATTATCTCTAAAACTCTGACAGATAAAAACAACTGTTAACATTAATAATGACCAGCAAAGAAAGATCTCCAGATAACTGATATTACTGAAACTGGAATTTTTGCTCTTTATTGATGACGTTTATGAAATTTCATTTTTCATATATTTTATTAAATTGATAAATATGGCAAAGTGTGATCAATTCAGTGGAATTAAATATTGTGATGGGTGCTAAGTCGAGACCCATTTCAGTTAAGGAGGGATTAGGACTTAAGAAGATTTTAGATCCCAATTTAATATTCTTATACGTGTCTACAAATAAAACAAATCTATTTTATTTTTTGAAATCTACCCGTGATAATATAACCGTCACAAAAAATACGTTCCTTTTTGTGACATTGATCCATTCATGTGACGCGCAGTTTATATTTCGTTTGTGGTGTCCTGGTGTGCTGTCGTAAATTCATGGGAGGTGTCCGTTGTTATTTTGCGGTTTACATGTTGTAATATACTATTATATTATTCATTTATGTATTTATATGTGTTGAGTGTTCTTGCGTTTGTTTGTACTGTATTCCTGTCACGTAGTGTTGTCAGCGGTATTTTTAACATTGCCATATAAGCGGGAGGTTTGGCTAGCCATAAAACCAGGTTCAATCCACCACTTTTCTTAAAATGTCCTGTACCAAGTCAGGAATATGGCAGTTGTTATCAAGTAGTCTGTTTCTATGTATGTTGGCGTTTGTTTTTGTTGCAGTTCAGTGTTTCTGTTGTTCCGTTGTTTTCCTCTTATAGTTGATGTGTTTCCCTCGGTTTTAGTTTGTAACCCGGACTTGTTTTCTCTTAATCGATTTATGACTTTTGAAAAGCGGTATACTACTGTTGCCTTTATTTAGAAATATTTTGATTGTGTTTTTTTAAAAAAAAAGTGATCTTGGTACTGAAAAAAATGAATCGCCTTGATTTCAATGTAATGCACATGAAAAACGGTATCTTTGTTAAAAAAAATAGTTTGTTTCTGGAAGAAAACATTGTGATAAAGATTAAAAGTTATGCCAAAATGACAAATGAGTGATTCAGTCTCATTGGATCGGTTGTTTTCTTCTTATGGTAATTAGTAAAGCTTTATCTATGCTAAAAGATAGAAGTGTTGGTTGAATTTATCTATAAATTATCTAAGCAGTTTCAAAAAATTTCTAAATAATTGCAAATCATAAAAAAAAAATTTACTGCAGAAAGAAATATCAACTATTTTCCAGATTTAAATTTTCTAGATAACTAAACAGAGAGATGCTGTTTTATCCTCCAAATTTGGTATATTTTCAGAAAGTACTGAAACGAAAAGCAAAACAGTATACAGAGGAACTGACAAAAATGTTTAGCATCCATAAACATAACAAACACATTGTTTGTGGCAGAGTATTTTTTATAAATGCTACCAATCCAAAAGATCTTGAAATCAAAAATCTTACAGCTGATTTGGTTGAAATTGCATTTCAACAGCCAACATGGGGTGAAAGGAAGCCAATAGCTTGGGTTCCGTTAGAATTGGTAATTTCCGAAATGAAATCGCGCGATGTCAAACTGATAACCAAAGCGGAAATGAAATTTCTTAACGAATCACACAATGATTTCGTACTGAATGATATTCAGTTTGAACACTTTCTAAAAATTCAACACTCCTTTGGTAAAATTCTCTATTTTGCCTTTCCTGGAATTGATGATTTCATTGTCCTGCAACCTGTAGCTATGGTAAATATTCTTCTGTCGTTTGTCACGGATGAATGTTTCTGGCCAAGGAAAAAACATCTAGCAAAGATACACAAAGATCTTCATGATGGTGGCTCCATTACAAAAAGTGATCTTTTCCAACTATGGAATCAGAAGCCTTTTAATGAGATAATGCCTGATGAGAACTACAAGAAATACATTCTGCAGGTTCTTATTCATCTTGATGTTCTGATTGAGCCCAAACGTCACAAAGAAGGACAATCTATGGCAAATGATTACCTGGTACCTTGTATTGTCAAAACTACAGCTCCAGCCAACTTTCTCGACAAGGACGTTGTTGGAGACAGAACATTATGCATAGCATATGAAATGACTGATCTAGCTGTCCCGTCTGCCTTATCGTTCAAGTTAATTGCCACAGCTTTGGTGGTGTGGCCACTGAAAGAAGAAAACGGTCGGCCGTGTCTATATTATCAGTCAGCTTTGTTGAATGTTGATGAACGCAATGAACTTCGTATAATGATTGAAGGACAGCATGTCATGGTGTACCTCACAAATGCAGAATCAATACATTTGATATCACCAGATGTGGCGGCAAGTATTCAAGAATGTCTTACATTAGCCTTGACCAACATTCTCAAGTTTTACCTTCAGAGTTTTGGAAAGTTTTCAGTCGACCTGGATGTTTCCCGCTTTTTCAACATTAAAGTTGGATTGATTTGTCACAGAGAGGTTTGCCTAGTACCGTTGTCGGATGTTAAACTACAGAAAGAATGGACATGCAAGCACGAAGTAAAGCATCAAACGAAATATCCAATGTACTGGATATTTGACAAGGTAAATTGTTTAATTGAATTCTCACTCAATTTTTTCATAGGCAACCACCTGTTTTAACAAATGTTTAATTATTTCCGAAAATTGTTTGATAAAAAGATAAGCGTTTCATTAACAATCTATTCAATCAATAGTCTAAAAATCGTTTTGCAAATTTAATTCTTCCGTCGGCCAAAACAAGTTTAATAAGAAATAGTTATTCTCGTAAAATTTAGTTCGAAGCGTCAATATGTCACGTTTTGGTTTGTTTCTTTTGTCTCTACCAGTAACAGTCGTGTCTATGATTTTTGCTGGAAAACCCGTTTTCATTTTAAACTTTCACATTCGATCAAGTTTTATTGGTAGACAAATACATTTACCAATCCACTGTTGCATTGTGCTTTATCAACGTACATGACGCTATGTACAACTCATTTTGACAAGAGTAAAGCAGAGGGTGATACTAATTGAGCAGGAACTGTCCTTCCGAAGCATCTGAGTTCACCCTGGTATTTTTTGCCGAGCTCGTTGCTTAGTCTTTAGTTTGACTGTTGTTTTTCTTTTTGTCGTTTCTTTTTATGTTTCTTTCTGACTATGGTATTTCTGTTTTTCTTCGATCTATTGTTTGTGTTGCCCCCTTGATATATGTTCCCTCTTTTTGTCTTATACCGTTTGTTTGACAGTCAACCTTGATGTGATCTTAATCTTCAATCGTCAAAATAGTGGAGTATAATTTTGTATTATTAGATAGATATAGTAAACATAATGTAAAAATATCTAATTTGTTTTTAATTTCAGACGAATGAACTTTGTCCTACCAGTTGTAAAGGTAAGATTTTTATGTGGCAGAAAAAAAGTTGTATGGCTTCCTTTTTCCATTCGTAAATGGCAATTCTTTGGTTTCATATCTTCTGTCCGTCGTCCGTCAATAAACTTTTACAAAATAGTTTCCTCTGAAACCCCAAGGCCAATTGAAACCAAAGTCAATCATCTTTGGTGTTGTTTAGTTTTCATATTTGTTCCCAGATAATCAGTTATTACTAAAATAAATCGTAGTTGTATATTCAGAGAATTGTTACAAAAGACAGAGAAAATGTGTCGTCAAGATAGAATTGCTCAGAATGTAGATATTTACCAATTGGCTATATACACAAAAATTATCAAACGACTCCTTTAGAGAGTTATTCTCCATAAAGGCGTTAGTGTTGGTCAATTAAAATTTTTTTTTGCGTATTATCTTTAAAACTATCATAGATTTATATATATATTAAAAACAGCAGAAATATTCAGGAATACAAGAATTATTGTGAGGACCCTCAGAACGATTAGCTTTGGCTAGTGAGGTTATGTAGACGAAACGCGGGTCTGGCGTATTAAATTATAATCCTGGTACCTTTGATAACTATTTACACCACTGGGTCGATGCCACTGCTGGTGGACGTTTCGTCCCCGAGGGTATCACCAGCCCAGTAGTCAGCACTTCGGTATTGACATGAATATCAATTATATGGTAATTTTTATAAAGTTCCTGTTACAAAACTTTGAATTTTTCGAAAAACTAAGGATTTCTTATCCCAGGAATAGATTACCTTAGCCGTATTTGGCACAACGTTTGGGAATTTTGGGTCCTCAATGCTCTTCAACTTTGTACTTGTTTGGCTTTATAACTATTTTGATCTGAGCGTCACTGATGAGTCTTATGTAGACGAAACGCGCGTCAGGCGTATTAAATTATAATCCTGGCACCTTTGATAACTATTATCCTCTTTAAAAAGAAATATTTGTATTCATGTAATGCCAAAATGACTGAAAACATCAATGGAGTTTTAAGACCTTATTGTATTTATTGTTAATTTGTTCTCGTCCTGAACATGCCACTGGACGACGCAAACAACAATCAATCATACAGAACTTTTGTTTTCAAGTTCATCACTGATGTTCTATTGTCAAGATAAAGGGTAAAGAAACCTATTTGTTTCTGTATAGTTTCAGCTGTACTATATTTTTAGGATTTGAAAGTGATGCCCTTGATTTAACTCCAAATGATCAACATTTTGTTCGATTAGCGAAACAAATAGAGGTAAGCGTGTTTGACCAATTTCTGTTCATCTAGGACTGACTACTGCAGAATGGGAAGGAATTGTATATCAATATGACAGAAATGGGGAGGTCGGCAAGAAGCTAATGGCATTGTATGAGTGGAAAAAGAAGAGAGAGGCAAAGCTTCAGCCAGTTAAATTGAAGCTGGTCTCTAATGCTTTATTAGAAGTTGACAGGCAACATTATCTTTGCCAGGTTTGTGACATTTTCTAACTTATTGCTCAGGCAGGGTTATGCGCAAGAATGGCTGAAATCGACATCATAAGTCTCCGATACAATGTAATATTTACCGATTATGATCATTCCCCTATTGTAACATTTTGAGACTAAATGACATAGATATAAGCAAATAGACTGCTTATATCTACGTTTTAGTTTAGAACATCGGTGAGGTAATGCTGCCATCAATTAATGTGCAGTCTGATTATGAATTATGTCTTTCAATACATTCTTTCTATCAAACGGCTAGACTTGGTAATCTTACATTTTGTCTAAGTACAGTTTGGTTAAATCTTTAAATTTGAACATATATCGTATACCAATGAGGATTTAATGCACAGTCTTGATAATCAAAAATCAATCACGAAGAAAATCAGTTGAAGATCAAATTTGTCATTTTTGTCAAGAGGATATTTATACAGTAACCTTAACATTTACAGAAGACTTCTGTGAAGTTATATGAAAACTGAAGATACCAAGAAGGGCCGTAATACTCGCAAGTCGATAAACAGATAAAATCATGACCAAAGGGGAACGGCAAAAAGCAGAAATATAGGTCACAAAAACATCTGTTGACCTGTAGATGTCGTAAATCTCCTTGTTTTCATAAAGATTGACAAACGAATCAAAACCCTATCTTATTACCGACGGTGATAAATTAATAGCCGTCATAAAAATTTTGATAACGATAAAACTTGAATATGAGACTGCAATCATATTTAAATCGTTAACTTTACTTAAAATTTTCGAATATTTTTTTAAGAATAAACAACACAGCAATTTAAGCCTCTCTTACATCAAGAACGCAAATTTATTATTAGCTCTCTCACCCCCTCATTTGTAGTTGCATGAAATATACGATTTAAGACCATAAGATAGTAACTTAACTCTTCAACTGTTTCGGTACTTATACATCCCTCGGATTTCAAATGTTTGGCTTTGAGCGTTCCTGATGAAAGTAAATCCAGAAAAGCGCTTCGGACGCATGAAATTATTAAACGTGTTGTTTTCAATTTTTTACTGAACAGCACACACAAGAGGCCTAAAAATAGGTTTCCTTTAGTATGCATGACGCATTCATACCCGGCATATTTCAGACTTTTAATCACAGAAGTAAGCACAAATAATGACTGAAAATCTCTATATGAATCATACAAAAACAAGTTTAACAACAAAAGTCACAGTTATAGATTGTGAACAATCAAATGTCTTTTTTAAACACAGACGGACCGGAAAAATAGAAAACGAACTCATTTTCAATCATTATCATAATCCAACCGTATCTTGATGATGATATGATATTTGAATAGATCATCAAATCATTTACAATTGTCATTCCAAGTTAGTATACGCAATGCAACGAAGTTTCGAAGCGTGTTATGTTTTATAACTGTTCATCCGACCGTTAGTCTGTGTGTAAGCTCGTCCGTCTTCACTTTGTTGTCATTATGTGTTGGGTAGGTGATCTTGCTAACAGAAGGTTCTTCCATATTTTTGTTTTGTCTCGTTATTTCAAGATCCAAAGTAATCCACTTTATGAGTTTCCGTTTCATACATGGAATTATAACAAGTGCTAGAGCAGGTAATTGGTGTCGCTAATTTGTACATTTAACTTTCAGATTCTGAGAGAAAATACCTGCCTAATAGGTAAGTTTGTAGACCGGCTAGAATAACTTAATAGGAATTAGTAAAACTATTAAATGTTTATATGGTTTATACGAAATTCAGTGAACGTTGAACGTCGCAGCGAAACAATGTAAATGATTGGAATTTGTATTCAATTTCATTCCTGTATCTTTTTACGGATCTGAAATTTCTTCAGTTTAATGAATATTATCGAAACTTCGTTTTCAGATTTCAATTCGGGGTTGGAACTATATGTCTATGTATTTCCCTTTTGTAATCCTTAATGAGGTTTAAATATTACAATTAAACTAGTGATACTAATAAAAAAAATCCATAATAATAATATGTGCAATTTTCCAAACTAAAAGTCATCGAAGAAGTTATATTTAGGGTTCATAATGTTTCCTAAATCTCCGTATGCATTTTAAATAAAACTTTAACAAATCAAACCTGTCTTTAATCGAATACACATAGAATAATGGCATATGTGTTTTTGATACTGACTTTATCAGCAAGAATATCGAGCGAACCTCTCTTTTGTAAGTCGAGAAAAAAAAATAACAATTGATAGTTTTCAAAAAAACCGTATTCATGTCTAATATGGAATAACCATACATCGTCTTTGAAATAAAAAGTATTTTGTGAGGCTTCGAAACAGATTGAGCAATTAAATTTTATTTCGTGCCGCGTACAACTAAATTTTATATCGGAAACAATGTATTGTTGTTCCCTTTTACTGCACCGCTCAAAATTAAATATTTTGGGTGAAAATGAAGCTGGTAATTAAAAATTCCATTAATCTATATTATGAAAAAGAGGTAGTGTTGGATATGAACAGAAACTAGACGTGCAATACGCTAACTACGAACCCATCATATGAATTGAAAGTTTGAAACGTGCAGACTGCGTTTCACTGTCCAAACATTAGTAGGATTTAACATCCACATTCCTCCATGACGTAGCTGTATATTTATACAACCCTGAAATTTAAAAGGATGCCCAATCGTTGTCGTCGCAGTCATTATATAAATAACACATAGGTGAGAGGCTGATTACAGCCGAAGATGCTTTACAATGTTTGTTTCTAGGGGTAACAATCGTCTCCTTTATCCTGTCAGCTATTTGTTGTTATTATTAAATATATCGGGAAAAATCCTATATGAACTTCAACGCGTTCATTCAATTAATCAAATATTGCAAAATAATGTGAACAGCATCTTTATTGAGCTATGTTATAAAAAGGCATACACTACTGTTGTATCGATGCTCTTAACAATTTCTTGTATTAGATTAATGTTTAAACATTATTGCAAGGCACTCGATACATTCTATATATTTCTTTAATTCATCTTAAATTGGCATTTCAGATATTGCAGACAGTCGCTTACAAGAGATTCCTGCTGATGAAGTTCTAAACAGACTGCCTAAACATATAGGAAACTGTGTCATACAGCTTGGTATTGAATTAGGACTCAGTTTCTATAGTATCGAGGAAACCATGCATAACCACTTCAAGGATATGTATAGTCAGTTATATGACATTTTGAAGAAATGGAAACAATCCAGCAGTATAAAACCAACCATATATAGATTGATGGTTGCCCTCCAGCGTACAGACTCTGGTGGACTTGCATTTTTAAGAGAAGAATATTTGCATCCTTAAACAAAGTCTTATTTCGTGAACCATAAAATCTATTAGTTAGAAAAATAAGTTGATAGTGTCAAATGATTATTTATAGATAGTTGTTTTCATTCAGAAACATACTTATTTTCTCTTTGCAAATCGACGGCAGAATTTCCAGGAAATCTCACCAGTTATGTATTGTATTTAAAATGTAGGATGCCAATTGATGCACACGACACTTATTTCCAAAATAATTTTTA